TTGGACGATGTAAGTACACAATTTTAAAGTTAAAATATGTATGTACGCATGTAAAGTTTGTATTTTTAAAATAATGCACCCATTGCGTATACATACTTATGCACATGCAGAAAGGTCCTATATTCCTTGGGGTAGTTGCCAGGTCCCATACATCTAGGTATGAGGATTACATATGTGCATTCCAATTAATTAAGTTAAAGGGTGCTGTGCCTATACCAAATATAATAGTTTAAATTACACGCATATGTATTTCGAATGGCTATTTATTTTAATTTTTAGCTAGTAGAAATTTTAATATGTAGGAAGACTTTAGAATTTTTACCCACAGGTGTAGATATTTTAATATTTTTATGTGTATATACCTACATAAATACATCTATACATACGTATGTATCTTCTACATATGTAAAAACTAATATAAATTTACATAAAAGATCATAGCTATAATGCAATTTGTTATTAATTGACTATCCAACGAAGCGTTTCACGTATTGTAGGTTTATTATTGAAATCTTGATAAGAGCTTACACGAAAAAGTAAGACCTCAAAATACAAGACGCCTGCTAACAGAATTAAAGTGCCTCTTATCATCCTTCTCGCTAGATAAGCAATCGAACAAATGTAACCCTTCAGAATACATTCAGCAAATTTGTAGGTAAAAAAGGCTTCGTATCTCGTGATCCAATTACAAAGGCATTTGTGTGCTACCTCAAATTTTCGGTGCATAAAAGTTAGAATGCGTTATTTTTCCAGTAGACTAGTTGGAAACAAAGAATAACAGGTAGGTACCTATTTATGTGTAAATCGCACATACTCCCTCAAAAGAGCCACGACTCAAAAGCAATTATCGTTAATGTTTATGCATATCATTGCAATAAATTCGTAGGAGTTATATTCTCTAACTAGAAAACTTCTGTTATACCTGTTTTTGCGTTAATTGCGTTAAATCTGTACAATCTACAAGCGATTATCCCAGAAGATAATCTACGGCGTGGCGACGAATAACTGTTACCAGGTTTTTTTGAGAAATAAAAGGGTACTTTATAGATTTTGTGAAAAAAGTATTTTTTTTTGTTAATTTTCCACAGATTTTATTTTAGTTGCATTTATTAGTTTTTAAATTTTAATCTCTATTTACATTTGCCAGCAGTGTAAACTTTGAGAGAAAAGTTCATTCCACACGCAAATCTTTTTCAGGTGTATTTTTTCTTAGGCTTTGTATAAAAAAGAGAAAGTGGCGTTTTTATTTCTTCTCTCTGACGACAGGATTTATTTTAAAAGGCAATGTAATTTCAAGGATATGATTAATTCAAAATATTATTTAGAAAATGCAATGCAATGTAGATTAAAAACATGGGTACCAAATGAAAGGAAATTTCTGTAGAATTAAAAAAAAAAAATGTTGGATTCACAAGGACGAATATGTAATTTTTTAAGCTGATAAAGTCAGAAGGACAAAATTCGAGGATGTTATCGAGTTTATAGAAGTCCTTAACATATAACTTTTTCAAAAACAAATATTGCGGAATTTCAAGAATACAATTGGGGCCTTATGCCACAAAAAATTGAATCTGATTAAATTCTACAGAATTTCCTCTTTAATTTGATACCAATGCTTCTTCTTTAACGGCCATATTATTGACACTCCGAAAATGTCGGAATAAAGTGGAATATCAATATTTACGGAATAGAGGAGAATTAGTCGGAATAAGACTAATATTGACGCAGGGAATGAAACGGAATAAGGCATAATAAGAAAGTCAGAATAGTTACTCCGGGGAATAACTAATCTGCCTGAATCGGGTGAATAAGGGAGTTATTCCATGTTATTCATTAAAAGTTCATTATTAAGATTTATAATTGCTTTAACAATACATACGGGTAAGAAATCGCAACTCTGTTTCCGGGGCTTCCGGATTAATTGTAACATTCGCATTCGCACTAATAATTGAGGAGCTTGTACCGCAATAAAAAAATAAAAAATAAAGCTGGAAGTCCACTTAACTGTTGAGGCGTCAATCGAAACGAATTTAATATTGCCTCAACCTGCAAGTGTTCTAGGCTTGAACCTGAAAAGGCAGCAACTTTGCGTTTTATTAAATGCAATGCGTAATTTTTGAATTTAAGTTTAAGTACTAAATAAATCAAACATTAAAAATTTCTAACATTTCCATATTTTCATTTACCTAAATTGCCTAAATTATATCTTGAAAATATCCCTCATATGGGGCATTCCAGCCTATTTAGGATAGCATTTCCGATATTTCTCATAATTTTTTATGTTATACTACCAATCCAGAGAGGCCTCCCCAATTTTTATATTTTTAAATACCCATAACTTTGCGAGAAATGGGCCGACTGAAACTTTTTAGTTTGTCTTTTTCTAAATGCTTTTGGAATATAAAACCAAAAAAAAAACAAATTGTATAAAATTTGTTATATAACATGTTGATTTCCATAGAACATGTACTGCAGATGAACTCTGACCAATCGCTTCGCTAAATTTTCATCGCCAGAGCTCTCTAAATGAAAAGTAGTGGGGCCTAAAAGTAAACAATATGGAAAATTAACAAATGCAATTTGCAATGAGACAAATGTGGCAGTATGAGGAGGGACATGTTACTATAGTCCGCAACAAATTTTGTCCAATTCAACTCATACCGTGTCAAATCAAATGCATTAAACAAACTGGTAAAGATACCACGTTGTAGAGGGAGAAATTCTCTACATATTTGTAGAGATAATTACTACGCTACGACTAATCCCTTTCGCGTAATCGATCGTTATCGCCTTCCTTTAAGAATGAGTAACATTATTTCCTGCTCATACATATTTCATAAAAAAAAAAAAATAATTATTGAATTTACCAATGGATTACGCGAAAGTGATAAGCCGCGGCTTGAATAATACATTCGATTTGACGCAGGCAGAGTTCTTGTCGTTGAATTGGACGAGGTTTGATAGATTCTCATTAATTTAAAAATTCGAAAGAAATAATTAAAAATTTTTTTAATATTTTGACGAAAAATGGAAAAACAATTGGAATAAATACTTATTCCTCTGCCGGAAAGTTATTCGTCGTTATTCCGTTGTGAATAATTGACAAAAAAATTATTCCGCCGTCGCTCAGAATTGTCCAGAATTACTAATGCCGGGAATAAGGAATAAAGACAAGTCAATAATATGGCCGTAAGCACATTTCACTAAATTTTTTAAATCATTTTAAATTACTGACGTCAGAGTGAAACATTAAAAACGCAATTTTACCATATTTGGCCCATGGTTTCGCGAATATATTGATTTTTGTGTGTAAAATTTACTATATTAATTATTAAAGAAAAAAAGAACTATACCCAATACTGGTCAAGAAAAGGAGTTTCTATTATTGCCGGATTTTCCGGACCTAAAAAGCCGGGATACCGGGATTAACATTCCTAACACTTACATATGTATTTCACCACGTTTTTTGCCATTGCCTGCCGAGGGGCACGCAGCGCTTTTGCTCGTCATTGACCTGAGTTTTAATATTTTAGATACTTTGGTGGCCAGATACGTAGAAACTATTTGCTTTTACAAGTTTTGACCATTTATTTTTATTTATTAGTTTTAATTTACTTTTTAATAAAATATAGTATGTACTTCAATCGAAGAGGTGGTTGTGTCAAATTCAAATCGCAGAAATTGCATTTGTAATTTTTCCGTTTGAGATTTGTTTTAATTCCAACTTATTCGAAATAACATCTTTTTTCAAACGCAATTTCGAAAAAATAAGAAAGAAGTTAATTATAAGCCTGCCATAACTTTTATATTAAAGGTCATATTAATATGGCGGTAAGACAGAAATATGCGCATTGAAAATTCATGTACATACATATATGATTGGAATCTTGGAAAATTGTCTTATCTCGAGAGAAGTGGTTTTGTCAAATGTCCACAGAATTTATTACAGCAAGTGTTTTCACTACATGTGTGGGGTTTTTGTTTCTTAATTTCGGAGGCATTACTTTAATACAAGTCTAGGTATGTTAGGGGTAATGAGTATAGTGATTCGACATATTTTCAATATGGTTTAATATATTTATAACAACTAAGCCCTATTCTTCTTCTTCTTAATTGGCGCTGTAACCGCCTAAGCCCTATTACTATCTTAAAAATAACGTTTTGGTTTTCCCGCTTTCATGAATCTCTGCCATGGAAATGCCCATGTATGTACATATGATCAACAACGCCAACAAAAGAACTTCTGCAAAAGCTATGAGATGTTTGAGCTAATTCAAACTTGCGCAATATACTAAAATTGAAGGGGCTGTAAAATTTTTTTCTAGAAATTCCGATTAATAAGTTTGAAATTTTGATGTGCATTTTTTGAACTTTGTCGAATTATTATAAATCTAGTACAAAGTTTAAAACTTTGAGTTATATGGTCAAACCTTTTAAAAGCAAATCGTTTCTAGTTATCGGGCCACTAGTGTATGTACATAATTTTATAGCTAATATTTATTTCATAATACCCCAACAGCGAATGGAATGCAGTCTGCATCGTCTATGACAAGTAATGTCCTTAGATTAAGTTCCATTATTTTTCTATTCAAATATCCATTAAATTTAACATTGGGAGACATTGTTGGTAAGGGGTAAGGGTGGATGAGTGCATTAGTTTTCATCAAAGCAGAATTGAGGTGAACATAAACCATGAATAGATTTTGGTCTCATTTGATAGGAAATTTAATTCCCTTTTCGCGGAAAATGTTGCGGGTTTCTTCCATATAATAAATGGAAAATCGTTATACTTCTGGAATCAAATGCGACAAAAAAAAAATCTAAAAAATCAACGGTAATTTTTAGCCACTTGAAACTTGCACATAATTAGACTAAAATTTAATTATTTAATTTAAATATGACCAATACTGTATCTAAAAAAATAAGCTAATTAAAAAATAGGTTTTTAAAATGTTTTTATATTTCTTTATATTAATTAATATATTATATATGTATGTATATCGAATTAAAGGGAATTAAATTTGCTATCAATTGAAAACAAAATAAAATGTATTCGTGGGTTGTTGTTTCCACAAAAATTATATCGTTATCCTCAGCTTAATGACCTCTATCGATCTCCATATTTTTTGTTTTTTTTTGTTTTGTAGAGTTGGAGCTTTTCTGCATTTGTTCAAAAATTTATGTATTATATGATGCATTACTAATTGATTACATTGGGGAAACAGTTTATGTATATTGTTATGCGATTGCATTATTTTGAGTTGGTTGCGTTGTCATGCAATCGTATTTTCGCTGTTGGGACATAGCAATTTAGTTATATCTATGCCTATATTTTCATGTCTTGATATTTATGAATAAAAAACATTCAGTCAAATTAAAAATAAAATTTTTTTCTTTGATTTATAGGTCGATTTGGAACCGGAATTAAGCATAAACAATATTCAAGAAGAGTGAGTATAAAAACTTTAACCTACACATATCTACATATTATGTACATACCTACTACATAGGCTTGCCAAGCACGCTCTTTTACCACGAAATGGCCTTCGACTTTCCAAAGAGTAAAAAATCCTCTAAAAGCTACACTCGTTTTTTTGATATTTTTTATTTCACAATACATTTTTTTTTTGTTCGAAAATTACTTTCAAAAATAAAAGATAACGAAGATAAATCTTAAATTGAGAACCCAATTTACCCATTTCATCAAACTGTCACGGTTTT